AGAAGGAAGGCATCTATAAAGCCTCTCTTGTCCTCAGCATTCAGAGTTTTCTGAAGTTTCCTTGTAAGTTCTCTCTGGTGCTCATTGTTCTCCTCCCTAGTGTTCATCAGGGAGGTCCATACCTTCAGCCAAGGGCGCAGACTTGGAAACATGTTGTACAGCTGCCACCACAAACATAAGAAATATTAATACAGTGGCACCTCGGTATACATCCGCTTTGGAATAAGTCCAACTTGGTATACGACCTTTGTTTGGACGCGAAAATTTTGCTTGGTATACGACCTTTGTTTGGAATACGACACGCAAGCACGAACGTCAATGACGGGACAGGGGTGAGACGGACACAGAAGCACTAAATACAAGAACCAATTTACAATGACAGATGTTGCACATGAGGTAAGAAGGGGGTGTGGCACACAGGTGGACTGGACAAGCAGGTCATGACAATTGTATTTATATATTTTAGTATTAAGCAGTGTTTACATTATTTTATACAACCCCATCAATGAATAATATGTCAATAACAATAGGATTTTTTTTCATGGGAACGGATTAATAATTTTACCTTTATTTCTTATGCGAAAAATTTGTTTGGTATATGTCCTGTTTGGTATAAGTCCAAGGATCTGGAGCGGATTAAGGACGTGTACCGAGGTACCACTCTATATGGATATTAACACTGTCTTAACATTAATACTGTGCAGACACTTAATTGTTCAGAGCGCTGGATGAGTCGCAAACCGTTTTTTAATTTTATGCTCACAATATTCTTAATAGTGTGCACAGTTTAGCTGATATTAGTGATATTTTAAGCTCTCGAATTAATTAATTTAAATTTTAATATTTTATTTATACTAATTTATTTTATTATGTGACGATCTCTGCATTGCTGGCCTCTCACACCCCACTGACCACAGAACTGAATTAAAATACAAAGAAAAAGTTAAAAGTACATTAATGCCAGGTGCCCCGAGGAGCTTGTTACGTTGCTTTGCCAGATAGACCATCTTCTGGAACTCTGGGTCGTCATATTCAAACCTGTTGCC